AATAAGACCCCCTCCTCCCCCCCTCCCAAAACGTGCCTTAAAATAAGCCCCCCGGGGGGCTAAATAGAGGATTTACGGTATATATATAATTCTGTTTTTCCGCACTTTCGTACTTTCGTAAACGCGAGCTCAAGAGGAAAGTGGATACTTATTCGTTGCGGGGACTGGGACTGTTACCATAGTAACATGAGTAAAAAAAATGTAAATGCAATTTATTTTGCATCGATCATGCAGGATGTGATTGCTCAGTCTCCTAAGTGAGTGGTTCATGACCGAAGCACTTAAAGCCAGAACGAATTGAATTTATAGAAGTTGATTTTTTGCGGAGGAAGAAAAACCGGAGAACCCTGAGAAAAAGCTCACTAAAGAACAAACTAGAAAAAACTACTCTCAAGCGAAACCTTAATATCCAACACTTACACCGAGGGGAAATCGATCCCAGGTCGCATTGGTGAGATACGGCGCATAAGTAGCGCACAAGCAGTCCCGTGCTCCACATTCTCCCCGTCACTTAAAGATCCTCTTCTACCTTGACAGTGACTTTCAATAGTTTGGAAATGGTATTTCCTATCGACTTGACAGCTTAATTTGCAATGGCCTTACAGCTTAACTGGGCCTTAATCCTTATTAAAACTTGTCTGCATGCCAGCTATTCCCAACAAAGAGCAAAGGCTTCACCCATAAGTGGACTAGAGTCATATACACCAAAAAGTCGATTCTGGTAAAAACAACGATTTCTAAATAGATAAATAATAGTTCAAAACTTTCTTGAATTTCAAAGATACTGGGGAATTTATTTAATCTATGGATAAAATCCAGTGTTCAAAATAGTGTTAATACGGTGCTAAACGTAGTAGATAAACGAATTAAATATTCGGAATTACATTGGTGATTAAGCTGTCACGATTCATTAATCTTCTCTTATTAATTTGGATGACATTTACTGGAAATTGTGTTTAAATCGCTTTTAATCCCTTTATTAGTGCGTGTATCGCAGACACGAATGAAACACACTTCATATTCTCGGAAAGTAAACTGCCTACAATCGACGATGCAATTGCATGAGAGAAAGTTTTAAATGAATTTAAAAGGTTGGTATTTCAGCCGCAAGTCTTCATTGAGTCGTATGTTTTATTTCAAGATTAATCCAATCAACACTTYGTGTTAGACGACTGACGGGCTCCTCTAACAGCGTACTAAACATTTACACTTCCATTGAATAAGCTTGCAATAATCATAAACCACATAGCATCAGTATTTGTCACCGCTTCTGCTATACTCTATTTTATTTGTTTAGTATTCCTGCTTTCATTTCAGCGAAAATACAAATTTTAATAAGAGAATTTCCGAAGCATTTTCGTTAGCAATTTTGTTCTACCTCTGACGTGCTGAAAATATACACATACGAGTATAAAGACATTATAAATGATATATTAAATGTACGAATATAATAAATTGATTATTAATATTGTTCGATGCAGAGATCAAATTCTTAATTTTTTCTAATAATGTTTTTTTCTAATTCATTATTTTACAGATATCAGGGGAAGTAATTTTAGCTATGGCTGTTTATTTGCCGAGAAAGCCAGCAAAGACACTCAGAACCTTTTATTCCTACGGTGATGGATATCCAGTTAATTCCATATTCGGCATTGAGATTCCTTCAATAAGCCAAAAATATGTTCTACACGAATAGGATCAGAAAGGATATCACCACTAGTATCTCTTGGCCATGTGAATAATAATAATTCTGTATATATCGAACTTGAATTAAAGAGCCTGCGAACAACTAATGAAAAAGGATCTTCGGTCTTCATACGGGTCCTATTATATATCTTTAAAGTCAAGGCAAKCGTCATTGCTACCTTTTTCTTTTTATTATTGCCTTTGTCGCTTTACAGTCTATACGCCGAGAAATCAAGAAAAGGATGGGTTAAAGAAAGGATTGCATCTTCACTTATGGATGGAGCAATACCAACCCTACTCCTCCATCCAAGGAATGTTTGTGTATTTACCCAACGACAGTTATTCATGTCTTCAGTAATTGATGGATGGATAGGAGCAATACCATCCCTACCCCTCCATCCAAGGAATGTTTGTGTATTTACCCAACAGCAGTTATTCATGTCTTCAGTCATTGATGGATGGATAGGAGCAATACCATCCCTAACCCTCCACCCATAGAATCTTTGTATATTTAATCTGCCATCAACGGTTTTCCATGTCTTCAGTCATTGATGGATGGATAGGAGCAATACCATCCCTATCCCTCCACCCAAAGGATCTTCTTATATTTAGTCTGCCATCAACGGTTTTCCATGTCTTCAGTCATTGATGGATGGTTAGGAGCATTACCATCCGTACCCCTCCWCAAAAAGGAATCATTGTGTGTTTAGGTTATAACCCTTGGGGGAATCAAGTTCTTCACTCGTGCCTTTAAAAAATACATCACTATCTTATCATCCATTTTTCTTTTGTGAAAATTCTGAACGCAAGAGTAAAACGTTTACTACCTCCTGTGATGTTCATTTAAAAAAAGAGTATTTTGGTCGACCTCATATTGTGTAATTCAGCTTGCACCATTGTGGCATTTTTGGAATGACGTCGACCTTTCCCCAATTCGCTTTAGTGACTTCAAAAAAATTATGGCTCCAAATCAAGGGGTTGAACTTCAGTTGATAAAGATAGTAAATGTATGAAAACATCAAATCCAACCCTGACTTGGAGCGATCGTTTCATGATCACTAAAGCGAATAAGAGAAAGGTCTTTTGTAGAACGTTGGAATGGCCAGATTTAAATGACATCATTATTCAATCATTGTCACTATCCAAAAGATCATTCGTGAGGAGCTTTCCAATTTATATCTTTTTGATGACGAGGATCACTATCATGGAGTATTCTGAAGCCATGTTATACTGGGTATTACCTATACATTAACACAACGTCCACATCTCATCATGAGTTCACCGCTTTGGCACCAGTCTCTACTCAACCACCATTTCCCCCCTCATTTCGGTTCAGAGGCGGGGTTATACTACGATGAGTCCCAGTCTTCGCGCAGCTGCTACATCTCCTTGGACTCTTTCTCAGTGAAATGGTCTTAAGTGTTGTCACTTGCAAGATATTTGAAGCAAGTTAAATGGAAACTCATTGCTCCTGAAATCAAAGTAAGTGAATGAAAGCATATTGTCAGTACATAGTTAAYGTTATGATTAATATATGAATATAAAGAGAATAATCCAAGAATGCAGCATTGATGCAAGGATTAGCTTTTCCTTTCTAGGTCTTTTTATTGAATGATTAATAGCTTCTAAAACATCTAAGATAGTGTCACGAACGAAAAACGTTTATTTTGTCTGCCCACATTGTCTGGTTGTCTATGCTTTTGATTTTTCCACTGAAACAGAAAATAGAATAACTTTGTTCAGTTTTCGGTGACTAGTCACGTCGTATCGACCATCAATCGGAATTGATTCAAAAGCTTCGATTTCCGGTGTTTTTCTCAAAGACGGTCATTCGGGAATGATACTTATTTGATAGTCTCCGTTAARAGCAAAAAGCACAGCTTTTAACTCACATGAGATTGCTAGGATTGTAAAAACTTTAAGCTTCATAGAGTTGAATTGAGAAACAAATGCCGCAAGAAGGAAAATTGAACTAGTTTTAGAAAGCATAAGCCAAGCTGCTTCGGAGCCAAAAATTATAATGTGAGATACATGTTAAGTCTTTTCCTAATTCTTTTTCAAGGATAGAAGTATATGACAGTTAGGGGGGAAAATCACAAATATTTTCAAAAATTATTAATATTTCTTACATGTATTTTATATATCTGTGAGGTACAACTTAAATGGTCAGCGGAGAGTTATCGGAAATGATATATTAACCTTCAAATGCTTTTAACCTGAAAAAATACCGGCATTTGTTATCGCCCATCCCGTCCCGTGTCCCGTAACAAATTCGGGATCGCTTAAAGCCATGTCAAGTCAATACTTTGGTTATAAAAGTCTGTCATTAATTATAAGATAAAAACGAAAGAATTTGAAAGAAGGAGCGCATCCAGAAAGAACGTTTTTTTAGGAAAAGTGAAAACGATGATGGGGTGCTCAATGGTGTCACTTTGTTGGCCTGTCAGAACCATGAATTTTGGCCATATTTTATAAGCATAATATTTGGATTAAGCCCATGCTTGTACCTATGGTACTAGTTTCTTCGTTGGCAGGTCATTAATCATAGAAAAAGGCGGCGAAAATATATCCTCCGCAATTGCCGACAATGTGTCTCCACAAAAATCCGAACCACTCTGTCTAAACCWATCGAATTGCGACCAAGCGCAACACGATCCTTTGGGCAAACTTCGTATCGTTACACCTCCTGCCTTAGCCATTAATCATTCGGTGCAAAGAAACTGACAAGAATTGACTTATCAATGTAGTAGACATAACGAGGTCAGCTAACCTGTCTGAAGTCGTTATCCCGAGTACCATCAAAATTGGTGTCATTATGTGTACCGTTAACATTTGTCCCAGATAGAAAGGTCGAAGTGCACCAGGAAATTTTATTCCTATTCTTTCCACTGAAATAAAGTATAAATTTGCCATTCATGCATATCAACATATTGAGACAATTGTAAATGAAAAATGAAGGGATTGCTTTTGACACATCAAAAGAATGCAACAGAAGTGCGGAAATCTTGCAAGGTCATGCATGATTAAAATAGAAACCTTAGGAAAAGAGTGCAAAAAAGGAGTTGGTGATTTTTGATAGTACTTTTCTTGGTTTTTTTATTGGTCAAAGCCCTGTCACATGACCAAATTGCGGGTACTAGTTGTAAAGTTTATCAARATTGCATTAGTTAATGATGTCGTCAATGATCCATAAATCAAGACAGAGAGATAATCATGGACTTTTCTAGCTCTTATCCGACTCCTGAGATCCTCTACCATCAAAGCGTGTCATCATCATCGCCACAGCTGCAGTTGTCAAATGATTATCAACTCGCCACATCAAGTAGAACATTTAATCATCTGCGTCCCCCTCCTCTCAATACCATTTCAACAAATGATCCTACGAACTTTTACAACAGAGGCACCCAAGAATGGTCTTGGGATTTCAATCATGGTTCTTCCAAGGCGAATGCACAAGTGCCTAGTTACTTGCTCCAACCAATTTACCCTTGGATGAAAACAAAGAAAAGTGGAAAAGATGGAAACGGTGAGTATTTGAATAAATTTTTAAATTTCACCAGAATTCATGTTGTTGTTTTCCATATTTATGAAAAGTCAAGGGCTTTTTATTGTTTGACTACTACATAAGCATTTTGTCTATACCGTACTGGCCTATCTTGAGTTTTCATGACCTTGTCTATCGGTGAATGACATTGTTACTACAATGTTAAACCAACATTGTCATTCAGTTGGTTTGATTTTCTTCTTCCATATCTTTAAACAAACGACTCAGTGTCTGGTAGATGACAGTGGTTAGCTAGGCTATCTTAGTATAGGATGGATTCCGTAAGCCTATGTTGACATGCAAAGCCTTGCTGTGACAATGTCACTTCTTAATCACGACTGGCGACAATACCTTGGCTTCAGATGATTAATGATTTTACTGATACTCCGCGGCTTGTGTGTGTGGTGTGTTGTTTATAATGAACCAACATTTGAATATAGTGTTGTGAGCATTTGTTGAGCAATATGTGCGAACTAACAACGACAACTTGCAACGAAGCTCTCGACTATCAATCCTAGTGGGAAATATTTCATTGGTCACTACCTTCTTCGTCTTGACACAAGTTCTAGTTGTATCCTTGCATGGTTTGCTAACACAATTCAACTACAGTATAAAATATAATCTAACATTTCATGAACTTAATATTTCAGAGTTTTTAGTATGTAACATTTTCTGGTCGTTTTAGATGCCAAAATTACAACTTTATCGAGACAATGTACATATTTATGGCATGATGGAATTGTCTATTATATGCAAGCATGAAGCATGAATTTGGTTTCTAATTTTCGGYTTGTAGAGCCAATTTATAAGGATAATTGAGAATTTAAGTTTACGTAACCATTTTATTGAATGACACTAACACAATTGCATGGTTAACTAGAACATAGCTATGCATGGCTGCTTGATTTTACCCTTTTCCAATCAGTCAAATACTCTACACCTTAGAAAATTCGAAATTAACCAATAAAATTTCATTTGAATAGCTTCGAATTGAGTCTTATTCTTCCAACTTTTTAAAACATGGCAGAACATTTCGTTAAAAGTACGAGCAGCACGATAACTGACTGTGAACGAATAACCACAACTAGCTACCGTAAACTACAAACTGATAAATACAAACTATATCTGTGCTAGATTTGACACCTTTCCTAGGCAGTATTTGAGTAGCAAATGATTGTACAATCTAGTACAAGGTAGTCCTTCATTTTGAAACTTTTTTCTTTCAAGCAGGGGTGTTATCACTAACACAAGTGTAGGAATCTTTGATAACTTTCACTTGAATATTACTCTTGACTGAATACTTAGGACAAATATAAAATAACCTTTAGAGCACGAAATGTTGTTTCTCTATTTTTTATAGTGTTTTGTATCTTTGTGAATATTATATATTGCTCTAGTTTTCATTGCTTTTTCTTCATTAATTCGTTGTATATTAAACTAGTTTTACAGGTCTAAAACTTATRAATATTGATCTAATAAGGCTAAGCTAAAGATTAAACTAGAGTCATAATTATTTTATGATAGAAAGTTTTTGTTTTTCAAATAGTAGTGTATTTTAGCCTCCATTTTGTAATGTTGTCACATTTTCAGCATTGGTAAGACATGAAATTGAATTCAGATTTATGAGAGTATTGTTTTTGTAATTTTGGAATTTATATATGTATTGTTCATGCTAAGCTCTGATTCTTTTTGATTTTATAGAGAAAAAGAGTTCTAAACGACACAGAACAAGCTACAACAACAAACAACTTCTGGAGTTGGAGAAAGAGTTCCACTTTAATAAATACCTTTGCAGCACTCGTAGAAATGAAATTGCAAAGTCAATGAATCTTACCGAACGACAAATCAAAGTMTGGTTCCAAAACCGGCGAATGAAATGGAAAAAGGACGAGAAAGAAAAAGAACAGCAACAGAAACATAGATCCGGATATTTCCTAGAAGATGTAGATGAAGGAGAGGAGGGGTACAGTCTTCCAGATAGCATTAGGAATCTTCCTCGACTTCCTAGGCTACCACCATTCGCTCCCCCACGCCAGCCAAGTATATTTGACAACACTAACCAAAGGCTTACTAGTTCATACATAGACATGAATTTTCCACCATAAGAATATAATGAGGTCAATCATTTGATCTAAAGAAACTTTATATTATCGACCGACAACGTTGCCCAAGTAACTGTCGAAAGTAATTATATATCTTTGAACATCTTCACAAAAACATTGTTTTCTTTAATTTAGTCACTTATGTATAATTTCAGTGTTATATACACCGACTTTTTCGCATGCAATCTTTCTCTTTTTTTGATTACATACACAAGTATCGCRCTTCAAAATTTAGGATGGGAGTTTATTAACCCTTGCTTATTTCAAGAAATTGGTTTCCCATAGAGCTCGTGCCAATTTAAACACTCAGTTGGCCATGTTGGCTTCCGGCTGAACTCTCCGCTAAGTTTGAGTGTTGAATCACGGACTAGCATGATAAGTTATAAAAGTAATTAGTACCAAAAATAAAAAGTTTAACTGTGGATATATATTAGAAACTTTAACGCATCTTCATCTGTGAAGCAATCTGATCGGCTCACTGAGAATAATAACTACGGTTCATAAATGATTCTCGCAATATTTTTAGTATTCAGCGCGCTTTTCTAGAGCTGACTAAACTCTTGGAACCAAACATTTTCCCGTGGTCTTATRACAAACATCATAATCTAGCCACAGTTGAGGAATAGTTAGATCCATGAAATAATTCACCAAAATCAATCCATTTCAGTACAAAGCTTGGCGCCGGTTTGTGGGCTCCCAATATTTTTGGTCAAAAAATCGTATCTTAAAAGATTAATACAAAATAAGTTGATCAGTCGAGTACAACTGAACAATTAGTGAAACGTAGACTGGAATTCTTAGCGACCTTTAGCTAATCTGTGTTAACCGTCGATCAGAATCTGCGGCTCCTCTTCGGCCTTTCTTCACTAGACATGACCAAGCAAATGGTACGTATAATAGTTATGGGCCCATTGTGGCGATACGGTCTTATTTTTTTGGGTAATTCGTTCGTCAGGTTATAGTATGTTTAAGTCGTGGAAATTCGTACTCAAACTTTTTCGTGGTTTTCGAGAAACATAAAGCTAGACCTCCCAGAACGAACGATGGAGGCAAGGTAAATTGTACCACTTAAAACAGTCCATCGACAAGAAAAGATGAAATTTTATCTCTGGTGGTCGAACTCCGACCCGGTGTTTGAACCAGAATCGTGAAAACATCTTAGAAAAGAACCTTTAAATATCACTCAGCACCGATTTGTTTGTGAGATATTTTATCACATTTATTAAGTTCAGCAGTATACGATCAAACGGGAGGCTTGAGGGATGAAACTATTAACAAATTTTAAAAAAAGGACACGAAGAAGACAAACTATGAATTATTCTAATCGTATTCTTGTAGTATCTGTGGGTGGGTCCGAGGGTAACTCTTTGGTTTTTCAGTTATCGTTGGCTTGTCTTTCGAATAAGTCTTTCGAAGTGCCCTGAAATTCGCGTCATCATTACCACCATTTTTAAAGTAAAGTTTCAAAAGCGTCGCTTGATGCTGATATCATCTTTTAAAACAAACGTGAACTGCCTCCTTATGTAAAGGTCAGAGTTTAGTTAAGCGGTGAGAGGGTATTACTATGATGCTTGTGAGGAGTTCATTTCATGTTAACTCTGTAACTGAAATTCGTAGCTTTTCTGTAGAACAAGAAGAAAAAATGTATTCCATTAGGTGTACGATTCACTTTGACTGAAATTGTTTCTCTTTGGTAGCCGCCGTTGAAGGATTTAGCAAAAATTGCAATATCACTAGTTTTTGTTGTATCAACCAACAAGGCCGCCATATTTGTTTGTTATTTCAAAACCACCTATGTTACCCAGATTCAAAAACTTTGAGGAATTATCAATGGCACATATTCGGCTATTTTTCAAAATAAAATAAAATGTATCGATGTCATACGCAACGATTTTTCCGATTGCAATTGGTATATATACTTCGCTGAGAGTCACAGTCGTCGTCTTATGAAACAGCTTGAAACGACCACTTTATATGGAGTCCCAGCTTTCACTTCCCTAGCCTATACTACTTCTAGACCTAAAACCAATATGTCGCGCCTTAATACTGATTTAGCGACTGCCTGCCCGGTGTTGACAACACTTTGATATTTTCAAAATATAGTTGTTATTACAGTAACTTATATGTTGTAGTAAAAGAAAGCCTACAATAGCAAACTTAATTTTTATTTGCCTTGGTACTCCTACAACTATAGCTTCAGTTGTCAAAATTAGACCCGAAGATATTTTCAAAACAGTTGCTGAGTGTAGCATAGTCAATACATCTTTTTACTCTAGATAAATACGCGCTTCTTGATTTTTAGCCCAAGTTTCAAGACTCCTGTAGAGTGCGCTATTTACTTTGGCGAAACATGCGCAACCTTTTTGGAATATGGGTGTGCCGAACTTATGGTAGAATTTTGACAAGATCTCATAAGGACAAATTTTCACTACAATTTTTAATACTATAATATCTTTTGTTTTTGTTTTTGTTTTTTTTTTTTTTTTTTT